AGGGTGTGATAGACACTATATTGAACTGTCAGGCAAATCTTGTTGCTCTCTGCTGGTTCAGAATTTTGTATCTGGCACATTTTCCAATTTCTGGTTCTTTGGACTTGGGCCAGTGGCCAGCTCTATTACCTGCAAATCCTGGTGGGAGTCATTAGCAGTTTGCCTTCTTACCTGCTGTACCTGCCTGCCTGCCGTCTGGCCTGCCAATCTTGGTTCTTCAGCCCTACAGCTGTGTGAGTCAGAAGCTTCCATCCTGACATCTGACCCACAGACTTGGAGTTACCCATGTCTACAACTGGGTAAGCCATTTCTGTAATATAAACCTCTTTTTTGCTTCTCTAGAGAACCCAGACTAAGATAGATGTTTACCTGTGCCTTATTGACTGTGCAAAGGAATATAAACATGTAGCTCATATAACAAACTATGGATAGCATTGCAAAGAATGGGTATCCCAGAACACTTAATTGTGCTCATGAGGAAACTGTACCTAGATCAAGAAGCAGTCATTCGAACAGAACATGGGGATAGTGAATACTTTAAATAAAGAAAGGTGTGCCCAAGGATTGTTTCCTTTCATTATATATATTCAGTCTGTATGCTGAGCAAATAACCCAAGAAATTGGATTATATGAACAACATGACATCAAGATTGGAGAAAGACTCTTTAGCAACCTGCTGACACAACCTTGCTTTCTGGAAGTGACGAGAACTTAAAATGCATACTGATGAAAACCAAAGTCCACAGCCACAGTATAGGTTGTACCTCAGTGTAATGATGATGGAATACACAGAAATCAAATTGAATGCATCTGTGGGAAGAAACTGGAAAAAATCCATATCAGCCAAAACAAGACCAGCAACTGACTGTGGAACAGACCATCAGGTGCTCATATGCAAGTTCAAATGATATCATTGCTGACATCAGATGGATCTTGGCTGAAAGCAAAGAATACCAAAAAGATGTATACTTGTGCTTTATTGACTATGCAAAGGCTTTCATCTATATGGATCATGACAAGCTATGGACAACATTGCAGTGAATGAGTATTCTGGAACACTTAATGAGTCTTCCTCCGATCTGATGACATGTTATTTATTCTTCATATAATTACTGATGAAAATCAGTAATTATATGAAGAATAAATATATACACACACATACAGCCTGCAGTATGGTTTGTTCATCAACATCATGATAAATGGAGAAGAGATTAAAGTTATCAAAAATTTCACTTTGACATATTTCAAAGACATATTACATTAGGCAAAGATGTCAGTTTGAGGACTACATTGCACCTGACCAAAGCCATAATATTTTTAGTAGTTTAATATGCATGTGAAAGTTAGACCAAACAAGAATTGATGCATTTGAGTTATGGTGTTGGTGAAGAATATTAAAAGTACCATGGACTTCCAGAAGAACAAACAAATGTGTATTGGAAGAAATATAGCCAGAATGTTCCTTAGAAGTCAGGATGGCCAGATTTTGTCGCTCATGCTTCAAGCATATTATCAGGATTGGCCCATCCCTGGAGAAGGACATCATGCTTGGTAAACTGGTGAGTCAGCATAAAAGAAGACCCCCATTGAGATGGATTGGCACAGTTGACAGCAGCAATGGACTGTAAGGATGGTGTAGGATCCAGCGTGTTTTGTTCTGTTGTGCATAGAGTCACTATGAGTTGGAAACAACTCCATAGCAGCAATCAATAACAACAACAACCATCTTTTGCTTAGTAAGTGGGTAGAAGTTGTCACAGACTTCATTCTTCTTGGATCAACTATCAACATTCGTGGAAGCAGCAGTCAAGAGATCAGACAACATATTACATTAGGCAAATACGCTGCACAGGAACTTTTTTAAGTGTTGAAGAGCAAAGATGTCACCTTGAGGCCTAAGGTGCACCTGAC